AGAATATCTAACGTGAGAGTGTGAATGAATATAAAATGGAAACCCTGTCCAAGCAACACCAATTCTGCGCGCGTTGTGTGAAAATTACACGTGGCGTGGATCGTTATGGATGTTCTCGCGGTACATCGGAAGGTTAACAATCCGATCCGCCTTTGACGCAACGAGAACGTATTGCTTACCGGGTGGGACTCGACTGTAGGATGCCCTAGAACTAACCTATGAATAGGATTACGATGTAATCTCAATTGAGGTCTCAATGCACTTTTGCTAGTGGCGACTGAACGTGGACGGGCGCGACCTAATGAAATTATAACGAGCCTTCGCAGCGAGCGAGCGAGATCTACAGAACTACGTTCTGACGCGCTCTAACGTCGCTGTGCACGGAGAGAATTTTATAGCAAAATTGCTGGAGATTCTGTAGCCGAGGAATAGATCGACATTCTACAGCAATTGGCTACCCTTTTATTTTATATGCCTCGTATGTATTTTTCACAAACTGGAATGTGCTATTAAAGAATTTGCCATGTTCCTAGTAAAATTTATACAGAGGGAATTTTATAGCAAAATTATTGTAAATTTTGTAACCGAAGTATAAATCGATATCCCGCAGTAATCGACTATTCTTTTATTTCATATGCTCTGCGTGTATTTTTTACAAATTGAAATGATTATCCTTTCATTTCATACGTGCTTTATATTTGTAGAATTGGGATATGCTATTTAGAAAATTTTCTATGTTCCTTAACAAAACAGATTTTACTGACTGCCTATTTCTTTTACTGAAGAAGAAAAGGCTGTAATATTTCCTTCGTGCGTAATTGCGTGAGAAAAGAAAAGAATTCGAGAAGAATTTCATTGTTCTTTGGAAAAGGCTTAGTGGAGGATCCACTCTGTGTGGTGCAGAGATACGTTTCCTATGTCTTATGTCGGAGGACCTCGTTGACAAGGGTCGAAACCAACGAATAAAAAAAGAAGCGGCACCGCGAGATGGCGTTCCGCTACCCCGCTTTTACGCGCCTTTAAATTAGTCGGTCAAATGAAGAGACTCTAAGGCCGGGGTGCCGATGCGAATCCGGCAGAGGGGTGCCGAGGGAAATGACGCGGTCTTCCCTCGCGCAGGGAGAGTCTCGCGATATAAAGGGCGAGGGCAGTAAGACAGCAATCTACAGCTCGGTCCACCGAGAGCTGTAACACTGGTGGAATCGAACTTGTAATAAGGTACGTCTCGCCCACTCACCAGAACTCGATTGCCCCTCGGGGACGACGCTGCCGCCGACTCCTGTCTTCCATCCTTCCCCTTTTCCCTTTCCCTCTTCCTCCCCCCCCCTCTCTCTCTCTCTCTCGTTTACCTCGTTCTCCTTCGCTGCGATAACCTTTCCGTAGTTCGTATTTTCCGGGCTCACGCAAAGAGAAGAAGTTTGGTCGAAGTTACAAGGTCCGCTTCGCGTTACATTCTCCCGTTATCGCTGTTTCCTTAAAGTTACGCCGATGCGCGTCCTCGGAATTTCAATCTGCGTGCAAACAAGGATTCTCCCATCCTCGGCGGACCCAATTATCCTCCCCTTGGAACGGAGTGTTGATTCCACTTGTTGAAAGTAGACCGTCATGACGAAAAAGTCCGCGGCGAGTTTTTCTCTCGTCGGTACGATTCCCGCCCGTTCTCCCCCCCTCCCCCCGTCCCCCAATTAACGCAGTCGGATATTCACCCGTCGCAATGCCCGTCGGTTTATCTTCACCTGCTCCGACGTGCGTACGCGTTACGCCTGGGAAAACGCGAGATTTTAAAACGCCATTTCCATCGAGGTAAATGTCGGGAGAGAGATGTCGGGATATATCGTCGGGAAAGAAATAGAAATTCGTAAAGCATAAAATCACCTCATAGCGGTGTGATGCGGGGAGAGGGAAGGCGGAGGGACGGAACGGGACGGGCGGTAAAATAACAAGCGTTTTGTATAATATTCGGTTATCTCTCGTGCTCGACGTCACCGGTAATGCACCATACAATAATTATATTAATTTATATAGAATCAATATTAAACATCCGAGCAGTGTATTTTTAATGAAGTAAATACGTGGATGCATAATGCGCCGGGTGCGCTGAATATTACATATCGCAGGAAATAGATACTTGTAATGCAGCGATACACGCGAAACCCGCAAAACTGCATTGCGACCTGCGATAATTATTCGAGATAATGAGCAGAATTTGCGATTGCCAGTTCGCGGAAGCTACCGGTCGCTGAAGGGAGACAGACAAACAGAGAGAGAAAGAGAGAGATGGATAGATGGAGCGGCAGCACCGAACGCGCACTACAACCAAGTAACTGTCCTTTCGCGGCAGCAAAAAAGAAATGATTCTTCGCCCATGGTGACTCAAGGATCAAGATGAAATACGATGTTGAACGAGAGAAAGCAAAGAGCTTACGTACTACCGATTGCAGTTGGAGACGGAAGGAAAGGATCCGCACGGAGACATCACCGTAGGCTAAAACGCTAACAGACTTGAGAAATAAAAGGACGACGCTCTTTTCCGCACGACGATCGAAACAGGAAAATCTCTCCGACGCAAGTCGCTAACCGGCGACGCGAAAGCCCACGATATCGAATGAGAGAGGAAGAAAGAGGGGAACAGAAAGAGAAAGAGAGAGAGTCGGAGCGATTCCCGTCGGGAATACATCGGTACAGCGACCGCAACAAAGGCCGCAACATTAAGGAATAATGAAAGGACATGCACTTTGTAAGAGGAGAAGATAGAAAAGCATAAGCAACGGTGCGGCAGGCTCCTCTGCCTGGTGGCACAGTCTTGTCTTACGCCGTGACGCCTCTTGCGTTTTCATTAAAATCCCGTACCGCCGTCCCCACGTTCCACCGTTGCCCCCGTTGTCGTCGTCGTCGTCGTTGACGACGACTCCCTCGTAAAGGGCGTGTCATCCCTCGGAAAACAAAAGTCGCGACAAATGTCAGCTAAGACACTCGATTCCCCCTGGCATTTTTTTCGCGAGCTCCACGGCGCGATCGTGGCGCGCGCGGATTTCATTAAAATTTTATTACGCAATTCGACGACCAAGTAGAACGGGAATCTGACGACTGTCATTACTGCGCGCGCGCTTCAACATTCTCACCGGCTGACAGGAATGTTGAGTCGATGGTTGCCGAGAAATAATTATATACTTGCGACCAGTTTCGTCACGATCCCCGTTGAATTCGACTCGGCGGGCTTTTGCAACGCGCAAGCGTTACACACTGTTGCAGCTTTTATTTGAGATGTGTCCATGAAAGATGGACGATATGTCTGTTTCGAACACGTGAGAATTCGTGCGGTTACTCAAGCGTCATCGGGAAGAATATCGCACATTGTTCTTACGCCACGGACTACCGATAGTTCCAGCTGCGTGTGTGTGTGAGAGAGAGAGAGAGTGAGTGAGGGGGGAGGGAGCAAAGTTGCGGAACGACGAAGGGGGTAAGGGTAATCCCTATTGTTTCTCTTGTCCCATAAATCCTACTAGCTCTTCCTACGCCTCTCCGGGGCGCTTCGCTCGCGCGTTTCAACCACCGACAACGTACCGAGCAGTCCACCGTCACCCCCGGCCGTCCCCCTTTCTCCTTTCGCAACAGCAACACGCTCCGTAAATCTCTGGCCAAATGTGCTTTACGACACGTACGCAGTTCTCGCAAGGATACAGGAGGATTTTATTCGTCATTTGACCGGCATCCGCGGAACCGGTTAAAAATCAATCACCCACGCCTCACTTCACGATGGAGCGAGCGTCGTCAATTCCGCGCGAAGACAGCCCCGATCGATCGAACGCGCGAATAATTTCGAACTGCGACACTTTAGCGGCCATTTAATCGACTTCTAACGCGAATCGAGAAATCGATCATATGCATTATCGTTAGCCTGCCAACTGGAGCATCATTATACATTTATGATGATACTGTTGCGATCAGGTCATCTAATAATCATATTAGAGCCACATAATTAATCGGTTACCTGGATGACTAATAATTCATCCATAATCATCGTATAATCATCATGCGAATCGACCGCGAGAATTTCAACGAACGGCTTATTTCGTAGAAAGAGAGCGGTCAAGCTCTCATATAAGCTTTCTAGTCTCATTTTGTGGCATTCGCAATGGCAAATAATTTTTTTATAAAATTGCAGCTATTGATGAGTAGATTAAAGTTATATATAACTATCAATGTGATGGGCCTCTCCATTTGGGAGAAAATGGCCCAAAAAGATACGTCAGAATAAAACGGAAATTCTGATCGGAGAAAAATCGTTAGGACCTTCATAGAGAAATGTTGCGTAGAAATGGGAGAAAGATGAAAGTCTTTATCAATAAAATGATACGGTTATAAAAACTAATAATATTTATTAATTTAGGATGACTCTTTTACCAAGCTCTGATTAATTTAATCGTCGATTAATTCCATTGCGACCAGAAAATAGCTATTGGCTAGATATTGGTCAATTCTGCTAATTATAACGATTAATCGATTGACGTTTAAGTTAATCGGAGCTTGACAAAGATCACTCTAAATTAATAAATATTCTTAATATTTATAATCCGTGTACTATAACACTTTACTGATAAAAGTTCTCTCATCCCACTCTTTTTCCAACATTTCTTGTACGTTTTCTGTAAAGATCTTAATGATTTCATTTATTTTGACAGAGTACGTATTTTTTGGATCATTTTCTCTCAAATGAGACGACTTTGATACTTACATATCTTTAATTTAGTCATAAATAAGTCACTTAAAAAAAATTAAGACTTCGAATGCCGCAAAATGAACTTAAACTTGGACGCACTCTTTCAGCTCGAAACTCCGATTCAATCTGTCTACGAACACAAGTATACAGAGTCGCAAAAGATTACTCCGTAAAGAAATGTCAGGCTTAGATCTAGCTCGATTGGAGATCAAAACAGAATTTATTATGCGTTTCATCGAAACAACCCTTCTCTGACCAAGTGCTCCGTTTTGCATTTCAGATCGAGGATGCCATGCTGATGTTCGACAAGCAAACCAACAGGCATAGAGGTAAGTGCAATATGCGTGCTTATGTTTCGGAAAGCTCGCGAATAATCGCCGTAGAACTTGAACTCGTGCAAACGCACCGGAAATATATCCGCAACTATCCTGTTTAACGAGTCAATAATGTCGCCATTCCGCCGGCGGGGTAATTAACGAGCCGAGTTGAGGCTATAATTAGTAATCACTGTAAATCGCGAGCCGCGGTAAATACGGGGAAAGATAAATAACATAAATTTCGGGAGTGCGCGCGCTCGTCTACACAGATCGTGATGGCATTTTGCGAATTCACGAACGAATCGCGAATCGATAGCCGCAAAGGAGAAATTATCGCGGCCGAGGTGCGCTCGGCAGGGAATAAAAGGAGAGAAAACAAAAAATGAGAGGAAAAGGAACGCAAGCAACGTTGAAAAGATAATCGTAACTGCCTTTGAAGGCCCGAGGGACTTCGAGTCTCTTGAGCGAAGACCTCATTTTTACAGAGTTCCCATGCAATATTTACGAAACATAAATCGGAGGGAATCCGAGAGACGATGGACGAAGGGCAAACCTCGTTCCCTCTTTCTTTCTCGTTGTCTTTGCCCTACGTATCCACGATAACCCGATGTAAAATCGACAGATCATCGCGAGATTAAAAGCTCTCAATTGCAGACGGAACGCGAGCGAGCGAACGAGCGCGCTCGAGAAATTTTTGCGCGGCACTTCGCTAACCGTAGGAATGAGAAAGAAGAGCGGGATAGAAACGTTATCGAGATCGCGCGAGGAGCGCATGCCCAATTGAAAATCGACTAGGGAGTACGAGGGGAGGAGGAAAGGTGGAGGAGATCGAGAGGTCGCGATGAATGAAATATCGCGCGGCCGGGGTAATATATAGGGCAGAGCTCGATTCTCAAGCCCCTCTCGCCTCTCGTTGAGA